ACAATCACAGCTCCCGCTCCAGGTATCACCACCACCACCATGGGGACCAACTCAGTCCTAACCACCACGCCCATACCAGAGGGGAATGAGAGCATTGTGGACAGCACCCTGGCCATGAAGAGCAGCACTTCTTCCCCAGAGCATCCTCCAGCCTGGTCTTCCACAGCTGCATCTGCCCCAGCGTCAGGCTCCTGGACTATCACAGGCACAGCTTCAGCCTTAGAAGTCACAGGTTCTCCTGAAACAATTTCTACAATGCGGACAACGCCATCCTTAGCATCAAGCACTGAATCAGGCTCTGTATCTGCTCCCCATGGCCTTGTGACTGTCATTGGAACTAGTCTGGCCATTCCATCCTCCTATGCTTCATCTGTAGAGACAGAGGCCAGCACAAGTGTGAAAACATTGAATCCTTCAGGCACAACCCCACCTGTGTCCATATCATCTTCTGGTGTCCAGAGGACGAGCACCTCAGTTCCCTACATGTCAAGTACACGTTGGACTCAGAGTACAACAGAAACAGAATCCTTGCCTGCTTCAGTGGTTTCTACTGACCATCTAAGCACAAAGACTGACCCAAGTATCTCCCTGTCCAGTCCTCTGTCTGATTCTCGGTCCACTCCTGACTGGGCCACTGGGAGATCTTTGTCACCAGCCACAATCACTACCTCAGCTCCTCAGAGGGGTACATCCCCTCAAGGACTCACTTCGGAGACCGTGATCATCCCAGCTACCTCAGAGCTGCCCTTCTCTGTAAGGGACATTACAAGTAAGGTCACACCAGCTGCATTGGTAAGTAGCTCTGGAGTCGCTTTCTCAGGGAGGCCTGATCTCACTAGCAAAGAGGCAGAGCAGAGTTCTATCAAGCTTCCCACCATGATTTCTGCAGGTCCAGGGCATATCCACAGCCCAGCAACAACTGTGAGTACAATCCCATACACAGTCCAAACTCCAGATCCAGCTCTCCAGGGACATGGGCTGAGGACTCCAACAGCAGAGACCACGTCTCCATCTGATTCCATGTCCACATCTGATTCCTGGCGTAGGAAAGAAGAGTCAACATCAAGCTCGTCTTTGATAACTAAAATGATAAATGTGTCTCCTGTCTCAGGAGGAACCATCCAGGAGGTTCCCGACTCTTCTGGTGTATTAAGTACCACAGACGTGCTGGGTATAAGCTTGACATCTAGGACAACTGTACCCCCAAGTTGGAAAAACAGCCCATATGAGAGAACAACTGCTTCTGAGCCCACCACAGACAAAGAAGCAATTCACCCTTCCACAAACACAGGGACAACAGGGTGGGCCACAAGTTCTGAACATGATCCTCGTTCCACGGTCTCTGCCTACTCGGAGTCATCCAGGGCCACATCCCCAATGGTTACTGCCTTCACCATAGCAAAAGCCATTGATTTTACATCAACAACTAACCAGCCAGAGTCCACGAGGCCTGGAACAGAGCCTGACTCCTCCCTGACTAGTGAACTGAGGGAATCCACCACTAACATGGACGTGAGCTCAACCACAGAAACGAGCATTGTCTCTTCCTCAGGTGCCATTGCTATTAACAAGGCGTACAGAACAGAAGTCACCTCCTCTGGCAGAATATCCAGCCCATTCCCTACTCAGTCCACAGAGACAGCAGACATCTCCACAGCAACCATCACCATGCCATCTACTTTCTCTGCCATGACAGAATCTGTAAAAATGACTGTCACCACACAAACAGGTCTTCCTAGGTCTACATCACTAAGTGCACTTACCGGGGATACATCGGCAATATCCTCCTGGGCAGGAACCCCACTGGCTGTGACTAAGGGACTTTCACACTCAGAGAAGACCACTCTCTCATGGTTAAGCCCTCCCTCTGTGGAAGAAACCAGCTCTTCCTCTTTCCTGGCACCTACCCCTGCCACAACCTCATCTTCTCATACTTGGTTGACATCACAAGGGCACAGTCCATCCTCGACTCTACCTGTGACGTCAATTCTATGGCCAGAGGCCTCTGGCCTGGTGAAGACCACAGGTACAGTGAAGATAAGCTTAGAATCTGAAACCAGTTTACCCCCAAGCTTGAGCAGTACATTGGGTGAGACACCACCCAGTTATGAAGCTTCCACAGACACACAGGCCATTTATCCTTCCACAAACACATTATTAGCCAATGTGAAGACAACCGCTTCTGGAAAGAAATCACATTTCTCTGTCCTAGCTAACGCAGATCCATTCAAAGCCTCATCTCCAATAGTTACTGACTCCACCATACAGGCCACTACGATTTCCAAATCTATGACAGGTTCCTCTGAGACTACAAGAACCGAGAGGAAGCCATCATATCCCCTGACTCCTGGGCAAAGGGAGACCAGCAACTCCCAGGAGACCATCTCATCCACTGAAATAACTACTGTCCATTCCAAAGCTCCCTCTGCTACTACTACTGGTGTCTCCAAGAAGGAAGTCATATCCACAAGTACATCATTTGTATCTAGCCCTGTCAAGACCACAGTGTTGCCTTACATCTCTACAGAAATGATCACCATGCTCTCTGCCACTCCTGTCATGACAGAACCAGCAGAAATGACCATCACCACCCAAACAGGTCCTCCTGTGACTACATCACAGGGTACCCTTACCTTGGACACATCAACCACAGCCTCCTGGGCAGGTACTCACATGACTGTGACTCAGGGATTTCCACACTCAGAAAAGACCACTCTTCTGAGCAGCGGTCCTGAGAATGAGTCACGGACAAACCTCAGGGATTTCCACACTCAGAAAAGACCACTCTTCTGAGCAGCGGTCCTGAGAATGAGTCACAGATGAGTGCTCCCTCTGTGGATGAAACCAGCTCTGCCTCTTCCGTACTGTCTTTACCTGCAGTAACCTCCCCTTCTCCTCTTTCCTCCACATCACCAGAGGGTAGCCCCTCCTCTCCTCTTCCTATGACCTCACCTGTCACCTCTGGCTGGGAGAAGACCACAGCTGTGCTTGGCACAAGCCCAGAATCAGGAATCACTTTACCTCCACGTACAAATAGCACCTTAGATGAGATATTGGCCACTTCTGAGGCCATCAAAACTTCAGAGGCAATATACCTTTCTAGACACTCAGCAGTGACCAACGTGGGGAATACCAGTTCTGGACATGAATCACGTTACTCTATCACAGCTGACTCAGAGCCATCTACAGAAACACCTCTAGTGGTTACCTCCTCTTCAGCAATAAGGAACCCCATTGTTTCCACATCAATGCCTGACTCCCTGAATGTTACAAGGATTGAGACTGAATCAGTATCCCCCATGACCTCTAGACTGAGGGAGACCAGCACCTCCCAGGAGACCAGCACCTCTCAGGAGAACAGCACTGGCCTTTACAAAGTTACCTCTGGTACTACTACTGAGGATTCCAGGACAGAATTCATGTCCTCTAGCAGAGCACCCATCCCTGGACCTGCTCATTCCACCAAGTCACCAGACATCCCCACTGAAACAATCACCAGTCTTTCAACCTCTCCCAACAAGACAGAATCTCCAGAAATGACCAACACCGGCCAAACAGATCCACCCAGGGTCACATCACAGGGCACCCTTACCTTGGACAGATCAACCACAACCTCCTGGGCAGGCACTCACTCAGCTGTGACTCAGAGATTTCCACACTCAGAGATGACCATTCTTATGAGCAGTGGTCCTGAGAGGATGTCATGGACAAGCCCTCCCTCTGTGAAGGAAACCAGTTCTGTCTCTTCCCTGCTGTCTCTATCTGACATGACCCAACCTTCTCCTGTTTCCTCCACATTACCAGAGAGTAGTCCCTCCCCGCCTCTTTCTGTGACTTCACTTCTCACCTCTGGCCTGGACAAGACCACAGCTATGCTAGGCACAAAACCAGAATCAGGATCCAATTCACCTCCACGTGTAATTAGTACCTCAGATGAGATTTTGGCCACCAAAACTTCAGAGATAACATACCTTTCTGGAAACTCTGCAGTGACCAATGCCGGGACCACTGGTTCTGGACATGAACCACATTCCTCTGTCACAGCTGGCTCAGAGCCATCTACAGAGACATCTCCAATGGTTACCTCATCCGCAATGAGGAACCCCATTGTTCCCATATCAATGCCTGACACCCTGGCAGTTACAAGGATGGAATTGGAGTCAACATCCTCTGTGACCTCTAGACTGAGGGAAACTAGTACCTCCCAGGAGACCAGCACCTCCCAGGAGTCCAGCTCATCCACAGAGACAAGCACTGGCCTTTACAAAGTTACAACTGTTACTACTACCGAGGATTCCAGGACAGAATTCATCTCCTCTAGCAGAACCTCCATCCCTGGACCTGCTCATTCCACAAAGTCACCAGACATCCCCATTGAAACAATCACCAGTCTCTCTACCATCCCCAACAAGACAGAATCTGCAGAAATGACCATGACCAGCCAAACAGTTTCTCCTGTGACTACATCACAGGGTACCCTTACCTTGAATGCATCAAGCACAACCTCCCGGACAGGCACTCACTCGGCTGTGACTCAGGGATTTCCAGAATCAGAGATGACCACTCTTATGAGCAGTGGTCCTGAGAGGATGTCATGGGCAGTTTCTCCCTCTGTGGAGGAGACCAGCTCTCCCTCCTCCCTGCTGTCTTTACATGCGGTAACCTCATCTGCCACTGTTTCCTCCACATCACCAGAGGGTGGCGCCTCCTCTCCTCTTCCTGTGACTTCACTTGTCACCTCTGGCCTAGAGAAGAGCACAGACATGTTGGGCACAAGCTTGGAACCTATGACTAGTTTATCTCTGAATATGGACAGCACTTCTGATAAGATACTGGCCACTTCTAAAGATACTACAGATACACAGGAAGTTAATCCTTCCACGAACACAACAGTGACCAGTGTGGGGACCACCAGTTCTGAACATGAATTACATTCGTCTGTCTCAGCTAATTCACTGCCTTCCAATGCTACATCTGCAGTGGTTACTACTTCCACCGTAGTGGCCACCAAACAGTGACCAGTGTGGGGACCACCAGTTCTGAACATGAATTACATTCGTCTGTCTCAGCTAACTCACTGCCTTCCAATGCTACATCTGCAGTGGTTACTACTTCCACCGTACTGGCCACCATGTGGCCACCAATGTTTCCACATCAGTGTCAGGCTTCTCAGAAACTACAGGGACTGAGATACAGTCCACATCTTCCCTGAACTCTGTGCTGAAAGAGACCAGCAACTTACAAAAGACAAGCACATCCACTGACACAAACACTGTCTTTTTCAAAGTCTCAACTGGTACTACTACTGACAGCGTCAGGACAGAATTCCTCTCCTCTACCGGAGCAGCCACCCCTGGACCTTCTCAGTCCACATTGTTTCCAGACATCTTCACAGAAACCATCACAACACTTCCTGCCTCCCCTGTCATGACAGAATCTTCAGAAATGACCATCACCACGAAAACAGGTCTTCCTGGAGCTACATCACAGGGTACCTTTACCCTGGACACATCAACCACAGCCTCCCGGGCAGGTACTCACCCGACTATGACCCAGAGATTTCCACACTCAGAAATGACCACTCTTCTGAGCAGCAGTCCTGAGAATGAGTCACGGATGAGTGCTCCCTCTGTGGATGAGACCAGCTCTGCCTCTCCCGTGCTGTCCTTACCTGCAGTAACCTCCCCTTCTCCTCTTTCCTCCACATCACCAGAGGGTAGCCCCTCCTCTCCTCTTCCTGTGACTTCACTTGTCACCTCTGGCTGGGAGAAGACCACAGCTGTGTTTGGCACAAGCCCAGAATCAGGAATCAGTTCACCTCCACGTACAAATAGCACCTCAGATGAGATATTGGCCACTTCCGAGGCCATCAAAACTTCAGAGGCAATACACCTTTCTGGACACTCAGCAGTGACCAATGCAATGATCACCGGTTCTGGACATAAATCACACTATGCTGTCACGGCTGACTCAGAGCCATCTACAGGGATATCTCCAATGGTTACCTCCTCCGCAATGAGGAACCCCACTATTTACACATCAATGCCTGAGTCCCTCGACGTTACAAGGATGCAGTTGGAATCAACATCCTCGGTGACCTCTAGACTGAGGGAGACCAGCACGTCTACAGGGACAAGCACTGACCTGTACAAAGCTATCTCTGGTACTACAGCTACTGAGGATTCCAGGACGGAAGTCATCTCCTCTAGCAGGACATCCATCCCTGGACCTGCTCATTCCACAAAGTCACCAGATATCCCCATTGAAACAATCACCAGTCTCTCTACTTCCCCCATCATGACAGAATCTGCAGAAATGACCATCACCAACCCAACAGGCCCTATTGGGACTACATCTCATGAAACCCTTAACTTGGACACTTCAAGCACAGCCTCTTGGGCAGGAACCCACTCAAGTGCGACTCAGAGATTTTCACACTCAGAGATGACCACTGTTATGAGCAAAGATCCTAAAGATCGGTCATGGGAAAGCCCTCCCTCTGTGGAGGAAATCAGCTCTCCTTCCCTGAAAACTATTCTTGCCACAACCTCACCATCTCCTGTTACTCCCACATTACAAGGACACAGTACCTCATCCCTTGTTTCTAGGACCCCAGTTCTCTCCTATGGACCAATGAAAACCACGCACATGTTGAGTACAAGCTTAGAATCTGTGACCAGTTCACGTGTAAATTTTAGCGACATTTCACATGAGATACTGGTCACCTCAGATGCCACTGCAGATACAGAGATAATTTATCCTCATGTAAACACAGCAGTGACCAAAGTGGAGGCCACACATGCAGCATATGAACCCCATTCTACTGTCACAATTGACCCAGAGTCATCTAAAGCCACATCTAAAGTGGTTACTGGCTCCACCGTGGGAGACACAACAGTTTCCATATTAATGCCTAGATCCTCTGTGACTACAGGAATTGAGGCTGAGACAACCTCCTCCCTGACCCCTGGACAGAGGGAGACCAGCACCTCCCAGGAGACCAGCTCATCCACAGAGACAAGCACCGTCCTTTACAATGGGCCCACTAATGCCACTACTGAGGTCTCCAACACAAGCGTCATCTCCTCTAGAATGACATCTATTGGTGATCCATCTCAGTCTTCAATATCTCCAGACATCTTCACAGAAATGACCACCAGGCTCTCTACCTCCCTAGTTATGAAGGAATCTGCAGAAATGACAGTCACTAACCCAACAGGTCCTCCTGGGGCTACATTGCCTGAAACCCTTGCGTTGGACACATCAGGCACAACCTCCTGGGCAGGAACCCACTCAGATGGAACTCAGAGATGGCCACACTCAGATATAACCACTGTTATTAGCAGAGGTCCTGAGGATGGGTCATGGACGAGCCCTCCCACTGTAGAAGAAACCAGCTCTCCCGCTTCCCTGCCATCTCTACCTGCAACAACCTCACCTTCCCCTGTTTCTTCTGCATTACCAGAGGGTGGCTCCTCCGCTCCTCTTCTCGTGACTTCATTGCTCTTCTCTACCCTGGTGAAGACCACAGACATGTTGGGCATAAGCTTGACACCTGTTACCAGTTCACCTCCAAATTTAGGCAGCACAGCACATAAGATACAGGCCACTCCCGAAGATGTTACAGATGCAGAGGCAGTTCACCTTTCTGGAAACACAGCAGTGACCAATGTGGGCACCACTAGTTCTGGACATGAATCACATTCCTCTGTCCCTGCTAATTCAGAGCCATCCAAAGCCACATCTCCAGTGGGTAAGTCTGACACCATCAGGGAAAGCACAGTCTCCACATCAATGCCTGGCTCCTCTGAAATTACAAGAAGTGGGAAGGAGTCGACATCCTCCCTGACTTCTGACCTGAGGGAGAACAGCACCTCTGGGGAGACCCGCTCAGCCACAGAGACAGGCACTGTCATTTCTGAACTGCTCACAGATGCTACCACGGAGGTCTCCAGAACAGAAGTCATCTCCTCTAGCAGCACGTTCATCCTGGACCCTGCTCGGTCCACAGTGTCACCAGACATCCCCACAGAAACCATCACTGGTATCTCTTCTCTCCCTATCCTAAGAGAATCTGAAGAAATGCTCATCAGCACCCAAACAGGTCATCCTGTGACTACAACACAAGATACCCTTTTATTGGACAGGTCAACCAAAACTTCCTGGGCAGGAACTCACTCAACTCAGACGGAGGGATTTACCCACTCAGAGATGACCACTCCTCTGAGCAGCGGTCCTGACAATGTGACAGGTCAACCAAAACTTCCTGGGCAGGAACTCACTCAACTCAGACGGAGGGATTTACCCAGTCAGAGATGACCACTCCTCTGAGCAGCGGTCCTGACAATGAGTCACGGACGAGCCCTCCCTCCTGGGGAGAAGCCAGCTCTGCCTCCACCCTGCTGTCTCTGCCTGCCACAACCGCAACTTCCCCTGTTTCATCCACCTTGCCAGCGAGTAGCCCTTCCTCTTCGCTTCCTGTGGCCTCACTGCTCACCTCTGCTCTGGTGAAAACCACAGACGTGTTAGGCACAAGCCCAGAATTAAAAGCCAGTTCACCTCCAAATTTGAGTAGCACTGCAGATACAGAAGCAGTGCGTCATTTCACAAACACAGCCGTGACCCATGTAGGAACCACCGGTTCTGGACATGAGTCACATTCCTCTGTCCTAGCTGACTCAGAGACATCCAAAGCCACATCGCTAGTGGCTCCCACCTCCACAATTGGGGACATAACTGTTTCCACATCAACTCCTAACTTGTCTGATAATAGAAAGATTCAGACAGAGCCCATTTCCTCCCTGACTTCTGTATTGAGCGAGATCAGCACCTTTGGGGAGACCAGCTCAGCCACAGAGACAGGCACTGTCATTTCTGAACTGCCCCCCAGTGCTACTATGGAGGTCTCCAGAACAGAAGTCATCTCCTCTAGCAGAACATTCATCTCGGACCCTGCTCAGCCCACAATGACACCAGACATCCCCAGAGAAACCATCACCAGGTCCTCTTCCTTCTCTCACATGACAGAATTGACAGAAATGACCTTCAACACACAAACAGGTCCCCCTGGGACTACATCACATGATACACACACTGTGGACACAACAACCACAGCATCTTTGTCAGGGACCCACTCAGCTGTGGCTCAGAGATTTTCACACTCAGAAGTGAACACTCTTATGAACAGGGATCCTGCTAATGTGTCACGGACAAGCTCTCCCTCTGTGGAAGAACCCAGCTCTCCTGCTTCCCCAGGACCTATTCTTGTCACAACCTCACCATCTCCCGTTACTCCCACATTACAAGGACACAGTACCTCTGCCCCCATCGCTAGGACCTCAGTTCTCACCTCTGCACTGGCAAAAACCAAAGACATTTTCAATGCAAGCTTAGAACCTGTGGCCAGTTCACCTCCAACTTGGAGCAACACTTCCGATGAGATACTGGCCATTTCAGAAGCCACCACATATACAGAGACAATTTATCCTTCCGTAAACACAGCAGTGGCAAATGTGGGGACCATCAGCTCACCATATCAATCCCATTCTACTGTCACAGCTGATTCAGGGTCATCTGAAGCCACATCTACAATTACCAGCTCCACCATGGGAGACACCACAGTTTCCACGACAATGCCTAGATCCTCTGTGACTACAGGGATTGAGACTGAGGCAATGTCCTCCCTGAGCCCCGGACTGAGGGAGACCAGCACCTCCCAGGAGACCAGCTCATTCAGCAAGACAAGCACTATCCTTTCCAATGTGCCTGCTGATGCAACTGCTGGGGTCTCCAGGACAGACGTCATCTTCTCTAGCAGGCCATCTATCCCAGACCGTGCTCATTCCACAACGTCACCGGACATCTTCACAGGAACAATCACTGGGCTCTCTACTTTGCCTGCCATTACAGAATCTGAAGAAAGGACCATCACTAGCCAAACAGGTTCTACTGGGGCCACATTGCAGGGCACCCTTACCTTGGATACATCAACCACAACCTCCTGGGCAGGAACTCACTCAATTGTGACTCAGGGATTTCCACACTCGGAGATGACCACCCTTACAAGCAGCGGTCCTGAGAATGAGTCATGGACGAGCCCTCCCTCTGTGGAAGACACCAGCTCTGCCTCTTCCCTGCTCTCTTTACCCACAATAACCTCACCTTCCCCTGTTTTATCCACGTTACTAGAGGATAGCCCCTCCTCTGCTCTTCCTGTGACTTCACTGCTCACCACTGGTCTGGCGAAGACCACAGACATGTTTGGCACAAGCTCAGAACCTGTGCCCAGTTCACCTCCACGTTTAGGCAGCACCTCACATAAGATACTGGCCACTTCTAAAAATACCACAGATACACAGGAAATTTATCCTATAAACACAGAAGTGACCGGCGTGGAGACCACCAGTCCCGGACATGAATTACATTCCTCTTTCCCAGCTAAGTCACTGCCATCCAATGCTACATCTCCAGTGGTTACTGTCTCTACCATAGAGGCCACCGCTGTTCCCACATCAACGTTGGGTCCCTCTGAAACTACAAGGATTGAGATTCAGCCAACTTCCTCCCTAACCTCAGGGCTGAAGGAAACAAAGAGCTTCCAGGAGGCCAGCTCATCCACTGACACAAGCACTGTCCTTTTCAAAGTTCCCACTGGTCCTACAACTACTGAGGTCTCCAGCACAGGAGTCATCTCCTCTAGCAGAACATCTGTTGCTGGTGGCGCTCAGTCTGCAGTATCTTCAGATATCTCCACAGAAATGACCACCAGTCTCTCTACCTCCCACATCATGAGAGAATCTGCAGAAATGACCATCACCACTTCAACAGGTCCTCTTGTGGCCACCTCAAAGAGAACCCTTTTATCGGATACATCGACTGCAACCTCCAGGACAGGAACTCACTCAGCTATGACTCAGGGATTTACTCACTCAGAGGTGACCACTCTTATGAGCAGTGGCCCTGAGAGTGTGTCATGGGAGAGCCCTCCCTCTATGGAAGAAACCAGCTCTGCCTCTACCCTGCTTTCTCTACCTGCCACAACCTCAACTTCCCCTGTTTCATCCACCTCACCAGAGAGTAGCCCTTCCTCTTCACTTCCTGCGACTTCACTGCTCACCTCTGGTCTG